AGGAGGCCTTTGACTGTGGAGATAAACCTCAGTTTGACAGGTACACAACTACTCTGAGCACAGACATGGAACACTAAACCGTTACCAACTGTTCATACTAACCATATAATTGGCATTTCTAGTAACACTGATGTCCACACTGTGGCTTCCCTGCTGAAGCTGTATCTCAGGGAGCTCCCCGAACCCGTCGTTCCCTTCTGCAAGTATGAGGACTTTCTCAATTGTGCTCAGCTCCTGGCCAAAGATGAGGAGGAGGTTAGTGACTGCACGAAATCTGAACAGCAGTGTAGAGAAGACAAGTTAAAGAAACACTTCTGGTCAAACATACTTTTTTACCAGTGGAAAGAGGTGCTTAACCTTCATTGTAGCCTGGGATATGCTAAACACAGTTGTTTTTGTAATTTAGTTATTTTCTAGCAGTAAATATTGCTAGTTGTATATGAATAATGTCTGAAATAAAAAAGGATATACATTTTTTCTTTTAAATAAAATGGTATTAAACAAAGGGTTACAAACATCAAACTTGTCCACATTTATAACATTAGGGAAAAAAGGTACACCAGAATGGTTAGTTTGGATTAACCTTTTTTGTTCACCCCTGTTAAAACTGGTATAGTTGTTTTTGTTATTTTGTAGCAATAAACATTGCTCTCCCTCTCTCTCTGTATCTCTCTCTCACTCTCTCTATATATATATTATTAAGCACAGGTTTGCAAACATCAAGCTTGTCAAAATGTGTAACATTCAAAAAAAATAAAAAATTTAAATAAATAAGTAAATAAAAAAGATCTGACCAGAATTATTAACATTAAGTTCTTAAAGTTGTCACTCATTAAGAGCTTGTTAGTTTAGAAATAAATTCTGGTTTGTAGTCATAAACCATAAAATCAAAAATAGGAAAATAATACTTTGATGACAATAATAATGACCCATCTGATGTGTTAAACAGACTTTTGAACATTTGCAGCTTTTGAAAACTGAATCCAAAGAACGCAGTTGCTGTGTTGGAACAAGCTTAATGAATTATCATATGAATGTACAGAATATAATAGTACATAATATTTCAGCAGTCATGTTGTCAAAATGTATGTTTGTGTGCTCATAAAACAGAAAGCCATTTCAGTCGGTATGTGGTTTGCTAGCCAATATTCCTCCCACATATTTCACAGCTGACATGATGCGGTGCACAGATGCATCGCAGTCAAAATGTATTTCCCAGATTACATTATACACATAATCTGTGTTGCAAGCACTTGATTTTTTTTTAGAGAAGGCTGATTGTCTTTAAAATAAGATAAAACACCAATATTTTCACTTGAATTTGAACCACGAGACGTTTTGGTCGCTTCAGTGACTTCATGTTTCCACAGGGGATACAAGAATTAGGGAAGCTAGTGACGACCCTTCCAGCTGCCAATTACAACCTTTTGAAATATATATGCAAGTATGTCCAACATAATCATT